GGTTATGAATTTTTTGAGAACAATACATATCTACAGTAGTTACAAGATACAATTTCAGAATTAAGCTCATGTTTGAGCCACATTCTAGTAAAAAAAAATGCATTATTCATATCAAATTAATGAAAAATGTGTGGCTAAAAAATAAGGAAAAATTTTAAATTTGCGTGTAATATTATTTTATTGAAAAATGCGTGGTTGAAATGATATCAAATCACTATTGAAAAATATATTTTTTTGAAAATAATGTCGCTCAAACAAACCCTGAGAAAAGTATTTTAAAAATTTAAAAGGTAGGTCATAAGTCAAAATTTATTAATTAAATAGATAATTAAATATATAATGTCATAATATTGTACATTTTATGGTCATACATAAATACTGGTCACAATCAAAGAACGATCACGGTTACAAATAAAAAATTTATAGGTCCTAATTTATTTAACGATCACATATTATTAAATTAATTAATCACGCATTATTTTTTATTCACAAATTACAAATTTTATAGGTCACAATTTATTTATTTCGATCAAAAATTATTAAAATAATGTCATGAATTATTTTTCGATCACAAATCACAAATTTTATAGCTCACAACTTAATTTACGATCACAAATTATCAAATAAATTGGTCACAAGTTGTTGTTTGATCGCAAATTATCAAATTAATTAGTCACAACTTAACAAATTGTGAGTCACAATCTTAAAATTTTTTAGGTCATAAATTATCTATTTTATTGATCGCATATTATTTAGAGGAAATTACAAAAAGTGTCCATTTTAACATAGTCATTTGCAAAAATATCCAAAAATTTTCAATGTCCATTATTGCAATTATTTGGACGAGAGTATTCCTAAATAGCTTCCATGATAAACTACATTAAAACGATGTTCTCGACATTTCAAATGTCGTTCTCGATATTTGAATTCATTTACATCTCAAAAGTAAACATTTTAAATAACAATATTAAATGTTCTCGATATTTCAAACGTTGTTTTCGACATATTAAATGTCTAGAATGACATTTCATTCCGAACATGACATTTTTCTACACTTTAAATGATGTTCTCGACATTTGTGTTTAGCATTAATTGTGATTTGACATGTGTAATATGAAATTATTTATTTTTTCACTAAGGGTAAAATAGAGAATTTGGTATCAAATTTGGCCATTTTTAAAAAGATTATCAAAAGTGGACATTTTTTCCCCTATTATTTATCAGTCACAAATTACTCATTTTAGTGGTCACAATCAACCAAATAATCGATCATAAACACTTTTTATCCTACCTCATTCCAACCCCACATTATCATCGACGCCAACCACGCGTCGCACCACCTTATCACCACAGCCAACATTTGTGACCATCACCATCACCATTACCAGCAGCAGCAACACAACAAACACCAACAAAACCACCATCACCGACATAACCACCACTCTACCACCACCTGCACCATCCCAAAACCAATAGTAGCAGCTTTGGAAGAGGGTCCTCAGTCCTCTCCTCATGTTTATATGAAACACACGTACTTTTCTCTCTCAATTCAACCTTCATTCATACAGATCTCTCTTTCTTGCTCTACTTTTTTTAAATGTGTCTAAATTCTCTTCCTCTCTAGAAAGCGAATGGTTGAGATCAAGATCTCCATATTGGCTCGTTGAAAAAAAAAAATTTCCATAGATGAGCATGACTACGAGTAGTGGTTCGCTGTCAGATTGTGCATGACAATGACTACGAGCGATTGTTTGTTGTCAACTTGTTCGTTGTAGGTGTGTGAGAGAGAGGATGGGTGGTTATGATGAATTGAGAGAGGTTATTAAACCCTTGTTTGAGTCCCATTTTTATTAAAATACATTTTTCTCTTTCTTCTTTTCAATTACACATTTTTCAATAAAATAATATTACATATAAATCGAATTATTTTTATTTTTATTTTTCAACCGCACATTTTTCAAAAAATCACTATTTGAAAACACATTTTTAACAAAAAAAAAAAAAAAAAAAGGGGGGGTTCAAACAAGGGCTAAGGTTTGTGATTTGTTGGGTATGATTTAATATTAAAAAAGTGAACTATCACCTAATTTTGAATACATAAGTTTTAAATGTGATTTTTGAAATTGAAAGTCGAAATTCACGTGTGGATGTAATTTTCACGAATTATTATTTTTTTCATAACATAATTTACATTTTGCAATATTTGTGGGGTGTGAAGTATGTGCAGGGCTCTGGGCTGTACGGTCTGCTTAGTTAATTATTAGAAATGGGCCTGATCTAGATGAAATGCTCAGCCCACCTTTACGCCCCATCTCCAGCGGTCCTTCCTATCATTTCCGTACCCAAGTTTAATGTTTTTTGAATAATGCCCTAAGTATAAAGCACTGTTCATATACAGGCCCCTCACTGTAGAGAGTAGGTCGGTGGGTCCAACCTACATTAAAAAAAATTAAAAAAATTTCGCTCGGGCCCCGCCCTTGTGTTTGTCCTAGCAGAAGTCTGTGAACCTCTACCATGTACGTGAAGACAAACCCATGTTTTTTTATGGGTTTCACTTTAACTTGATCAGAGATAATTAATAAAAAATATGTCATAAGAATAAAGCACAAGCTATAATAACAAAAAGAGTTATGCTACAAGTACAAAATTTTTGCAAAGGAAATTTGTCATAGACACAGGTGTCGAAGTATCATTCGAAGGTGGAAAAAAACATAAAACACAGACGGACAAAATTTTTCCATTTCAAAATCTTATATGAATTCTGTAAATTTTCTCTGTACTCATAGAATAACTGTAACAATAATTATAGAACTGCTTTTACTTCTAAGGCATATTTTTGGTCCCTAAGAAGTCCATCATTACAACTAACTTGATATATTAATGAATGCTATTGCCACTTTTAGTGCTTGCTTGCCTTTTGGAAAATTTAGATCCAAACTTTAAAGTCAACCAAGACAAATCAATAAACTCTTTTGAACTCAATCAATTTATGCTTTTCATAAAGATAATTTTGCCACACCTTTACTTAAAATGATATAATTATAATTTATAAACTTTGATCTAATTATTGATCTATCCGGGATACTTGATTATCAAGTTAATTAAATTTAAACATAAAATAGGTTCTTAGTTGAAGTCCTACCAAACGGAGAATATTTTAAAAACTCCCATCGAATTAACAGCTTAACTCAAGAAATGTATATGATGAGGACCTTTGTTGTTATTTTTCCTAAATATTGTGACCTTTCAATGGAATTGGATGGGTGAACCAACTAATTTATTTATTTTTTATTTTTTTTATTTTTTCTATAATGGGTCAGTTTCTTCCACCTGGACTTCTGTCCTAACATTCTCTAAGATCCTCCATTGAAGATTTAAATTTTTATGTTAAAACTTTAATATTAATTTTTCACATTGGATTATTACGTTAAAAAAAAAAAAAAAATAAATAAAATGGTAATTTCTTGTCGGCATTATCTACTTACCAAAACCTTTGTCATCTTTTAGTATGAAGTGGTTAAACTTTGAGCGCATAATAATATGTTTACTATACAATTAATGATAACTATATAGTTTGTATTGTATGATTAGTTGTTGATACATTGCTTCATTAAGAAAGAATTCAATCAAAAGATATTTAAAGACAAGAATCTTCAATAATTCAAGATTTATTCTTTACCACTATGACACTCCTTATAAATATACTTTTCACGACTCCATCTAAAAAAATAGGTGGAAAACGCTTTATTAAGGCATAATATCTATCTAAAACTCGGGATGTCATAAAAAATAGGATTAGTGATCAGTACGTTAAAAATTGTAATTTATTTTGACTTTTGGTTTTATTTTTAGATGGAGTCCAAGTTTTGATCGATCTCAAGAGCCTGGCGAAATCTTGATCTACTGCATGTCTCCAATACTTCGGATCCATATAGCTTCGAAGCGAACGACGTTGCAATAGCAGTAGAATAATTTATTTTATATGGACAATTTTGTAGATCGATGGACTTAATACCTTCATCATTACAAAAGGCAATTTTACAATATTTGTCTCCTGTTTTTTAAGTTAAAGAAAGATCGAAAACGCATCTGTACAATGGTTATAAATTTGGTTACCGAATTTCTACAACAATTAAGTGAATGATCATGAATTAACCACATTTGTATATAACAATATTACCAAAATAAGAGATTTGAGATTTGTCCAACACTTTTAGATTCATTCTTAACAACTTAAAACAACCTTCTACCAAGTTAACTTAAGAAAAAAGATAGGCTTTTAAGTGACCTAATTATCATTTTTTCCTTTGGGAACTTCAATTCAGGCGTTCAACTAACTTTTCTGTATTTAGTGGCATTTATAATTTAAGTACTGAACCCATCATAAAAAGGAGGGGACAGTACTTATCTGTTCATCAACTGCCATGAAATGCTCCCATCAATTTAATACTATGATTTATTATTGCTGAAAGATTTTGAGTACAAAATCTATGAATATGGAAAATTAATATACAATTCCAATGTGAGGTTTGTGAATTATTTACTACATTAATTTTTTATTTTTATTTTTATTTTTATTTTTTTGGGCCACCAATATTATACTGTATCTTCAGGTTGCACTGCTCTGGTAGTTGAGATAGCCTTGTCAACCCTCCTAAGGAGCCAGCTCTCCTCCCCTCTATAGATCAATTTTCATTGACTTGTCACATGTGGACCTTTTATGCATTTTGTTACGCTTATGCCTGCATATATGCCGTCGACTACGAATTTATAGGAAAATATAATTTAGGGCTCGTGTGTAATAGTTTAATCTTTTAGATGAAATGTTCAACATGGTTGGGAACTAGACAAAATATACAGATGTTTAGTAATTTTGAGTAGTTTATCTCAATTACAAAATTTCTAAAGAATTCTCTAAATGGAATTATTCCTCTTTTGTAGATAAAGTTATTGCCAAACAATAAGAATAAATGAACATCCATTTTCTAATATTCAATAAATAAATAAGAAAAAAACCCCCACTAGGTTATTAAGGCAATTTTATTATAAAAAATATGCATTCTTGTATCCTGGGACCCAATCTCAATGAGTAGTTCACAAGATATATCTTATAATTATGGGACTCCAAAGTGATTTTTGTCCATACGAAGCATTCCTTTGTACAAATTCCACTTTCTTCAAGCCCGACATGTATGCACCCTTTCCTGCTGGAATTCAACGGATATGTTGGAAGATTGAGACTTATCCTTAGAACTCTTACCATACGTTGGCATAGCCCAACCACTTGTTGCATACTTGACACGACCCGATTCTATAATGAACACTTGTCAATAGGTACTAATATACATGTCACTTGTCAATTTAATGATTCAAAATAGAAATTTTCTACAAAAATTATATATACAGAGACTAACTAGAGGTACTTGTGGAGTTGTCCATCTTTTTCCGGGTTCTAAGAACCGGCGGTCGTGATTATTTCGAGTAGGGAAGTTGAGCAGGAACTATCATATTCACAATCAAGATCGTCGAAACCCCAAAATACTTCTAGATCTTCTTCTTCTTCTTCCTCGGGCATCTTCCACTTTTCCTTGTCGATTTCTTCTTCCATTAAGATTACATCCAAAACCTGTCGAAGTATAACGAAATAAATCAATTTTTACGATTCTTAGGACTAATTCCATTCATTTATTTAACATGAAATCAAATCTTTAGCAAATCGCATATACTTCTTGGTGATGGTATCAAGAATGTGTCGAGACAAAATTGCAGTACTAGAAAATAATGTAATTGTACAAACGTCGAATTTTACAACTGTAGCAGATGTTTTAAATTTATATTTTGGCATAGTCAACAAATAATGAGACAACCACCAGCTGCATGTGAGGGACCATGAAGGACTGTTTTGGCTGTTATCAAGCAATAATCTTTGAATCACAAGAATGGACCACATATTATTTGGCTTATAGATCATAATAAGGTTAGATATAAACATCGACCCGACTGAGTGGTGTGGCGTGAGGAAGGGGAAGACGTAAAGCACCATAACATGGATAGAAAAAGACTAAGCCCTTGTTTGGTAAAAATTAAAATTCAAATTTTAATCAAAGTCAAAGTTTACAATTAATCTTAACCATACATTCCATGGGATCCACAACTTTTTAACCACAAATTTCATCAACTTTTATTAAAATTTACGAAAAATCTGATTTTAATCCCCACCGAGAGCTAAATCAAGTAAATCATGATGTGAAATTTGACAATTAGGGACATACTCATCAGGATCATATACGTCATTAGGACTCGACAACAATGTATTGTATATAAACTCCCTAATCGCCAACCGAAGCTCAGCAGAAAAGAAAAAAATAACATGAGTTGTTTAGGTGAATCACTACATAACACGAAATGAAGTCTAAAATAAGATAGAAAATGACAACTTCTTCAAAGAATGCTATACATTTGTCAATAAATAAATACAGATGGTAACATAAGATACCAGATATCATATAATATTTTATAACATGGAAGATTAGGTTCTTGCAGAAAAAACAATAACAACATAAACAATTTGTAGCACCTTTAAACAATGAACAAGTAGAGAAATCAAAGTTTAAACATCCAAGGACAAAAAGGATGAAAAAATTGATTAAATACTTTTTTGTTCTTGCACACTCTTACCTTTTTTGTTTGTTTTATTACGCTAAAATAGCTAATCCCTTGTTACCTCCTTCCTCAATTTAAAACATATAATATAACGTGAAGAATATATTAATGTGAAATTGATCTTCTGTCCTTGATGGACAAGATAAAAACTCCTCACTGTTCACGTGGCTTAACTATAGTTCTCTGAGTTTGAGGGAACCATAAGTAAACTTCTCTTATCATGTTAACAGCGGAAAGCTTTTATCATATCCACTGTGGACAAGAGATCAGACTCGTGTATTATATTGCAGAAAGAAAGTAGTCACCTCACTCATGGATGGGCGCAAAATAGGAGAAGCTCGAATGCAAAGAGAAGCTGCAAATGCAAGTCGACTAAGTTGTGTTGCATCATATTCATTTCCAAGCCTTGGATCAATTAGCTCTTTGAACTCCCCAAGGTTTAGTATAGGTTTTGCCTATTGAATTAATGACAGTGAACTTAGTAAAGTCTGTCGTATAATTTATCCAATGCTTTATTGGAGAATTCATCCTTACCCAGCTATGTAAGCTCTGATGGGAACCATCCACTGGTTTCTTTCCAGAAATAAGCTCGAGTAAAAGGACTCCGAACGCAAACACATCAGTCTTTTCGTCTACAACGCCGTGCATAAAATACTCCGGCGCTAAATGCCTACACAATTATAAGTCAATTATACACTCACATAACCAGTACTTTAAACTAGGAGGAATGAAGGACTATGTACCCAAATGTTCCTTCTATAGGAGCAATCGAGTGATGAGTCCATTGTGAAGGCAGCCATTTAGCCAACCCAAAATCAGATATCTGTACAAATTATATCAACATGATTAATCCAACAAAGCAATTTTCTCCGAATTCGAGAGAATTGAATTTATGTTACCTGGGGTTCAAAATCTGCTGTTAGTAAAACATTTGAAGCCTTAATATCTCTATGAATTATTCTTCTTGGACAACTCTTGTGCAAGTAATGTAGACCTCTGGCAATCCCAACTGCAATTTTGTGTCTTGTTTTCCAGTCTGCAGACATTTTTTCATCTGAACAAGGAAAATAAATATAAAAAATATTATTCAAAACCCCCAAACAGAAAAGGAAAAAAATACAGAGTAAGACTTCTCTTGGGCATACCATGGAGTAGAGAAGCAACAGAGCCTTTGGATGAAAATTGGAAAATGAGATAAAGGCCATTATCAATACAACATCCCAATAATGCTGTTACATTTGTATGGCAAACATGCCCTAAAGTTCCAATTTCTGTCAAAAATTCCTTTTCTTTTCTCTCATCATTGGCAAATTTTGACAATCTTTTGACAGCAATAGCCTGTCCATCTTCTAACACACCTCTGTAAACCTCTGCAAATCCTCCTTTCCCAACTATGTAGTCTGATACACATACACAAACCCACGACAAAACAACAATATATAAGATTCGAAACCCAAAACGCAATAAAGAAAAGAAAAATTATAAAAGAGAGAAAACGAAAAAGAGAATGAACCTGAGGAAAAACCATTAGTGGCAGCAAAGATTTCTTCAAAGGAAAAACATTTCCAATTGGGCTTTCGTAGATTTTCTGTTGGTGGTGGAGCAGTGGGCTTATTTTCTTCTGAAATATAATCACACCCTTTACTTATTTCTTTATCAAAACTTTGTCTTTTTAAAGAAAACAGCCTCTTCAGACTGGCTGTACGTATGTATCTCATCGCAAGGTACTTAGGAATCACCAGTTTACCACAGAACTCTCTCTGCTACAAGGAAAGAAAGTGCATAATCAGAAAACTAAAGCAGAACAAGACAGAACAGAAAACTGGTACAAGTACTAATAGTATAGCATGAGAAGCCTACGGTTTACCCTTCTCTCTCCTCTTTCTCTCTCCTCCTTCTCTCTCTAGGAAACAGTAATCAGAGAGGGTCAAAATGAGCAACAGAACAGAAGGACGTGTTAATTTCAAACAAATGGATATTCACGTTGTTAACAGGGGGATAAATAATTGATCAATGACCAGTGCTTTGAAATGTTGGAAGAGTGCTTGGTCGAAATAAGCAGAAATGAATGGAAAGGGTCAAAGTACAATCAGATTTTGTGTTTGGTAAATGTGCAGAGCATTAAATTTAGATTCTTTGGTTGGGTTAATAGAGGAGTAGAATAAAAGGTGTTCTGCTGAATTTGGGTTGGAATTTATGAAGCAGGTAAGTAAAGTATATCGACCAAAATGGAATTGGAATTTCTAAAATGTATTTAAGAACCATAGACATTTCACATTAACAGGTTACTTGAGACCTCAACATTGCATATTCCTATTTACCTGAAAGTCCTTTATCTATGAAATATAAATTTGAACAACCATACACCTGTCTGGTGCATTTTTTTGTTTGCTTTAATTGAAATGAATGAATTTCTTCCATGTGTTCTTCTGTGAACAAATTTTGTGAAGGTTGTATGTACGTGTAACATGGTTCTATAAATTTTTCACCTGAAGTTCTTGTTAGATCACGACGATCAATCATTTGCATACTTTCAATTCCATTAAGTAACACAAGATATATCTTAACGATAGAAAAGTACAGAAAAGAAAGAGCTCTACCAAAGCAGTTGGGAGTGAATGAGGCCATGCCTTTGCAACAGACAATTACTGACCCCCTAAATATTTTTGGACTAGCGTTGATTGATGTGAATGCGTGCTTTGGAGCTCAACATGATTTTTAGATTGGTGTGCAGCATGCTTGTTAGATTTTGTGAATTTAACTGCCTTTCCCTGTTTTCTATGCGTGCCTGTGGTAGAAACAAAATTCATCGAGGAACGATCATTGATTCATTGGATTAACATTTATTTATTAAACCTTAGATTGAGAATTAAAACATTTATTCCAAAACTTTTCCCAGCTTTTCAAAAAGTCCATCTTTTGCACAAAAAAAAAAAATTCATATCATTTAGTAGTAATCATGCTCCAGCATCAATCTAGGTGATCACAGTTAATAAGTTCTATTAAATGAATCATGTAACATTGTATTTAAAGACAAAGCCAGCACTCGACGAGTTAGGGTGGCCGCTCGTGCTACCTTTGCCCAAAAAAATGTGGGTATATATAGGATGGACACTCGAGTGGCCACATGCAGGCAAGGGATTTGAACCCGTGTGTGTATTTATATATTGATATTGATTTTAATTTATATTAAAGAAATAGGTTTTACGTTTTAGTACATTTATATATTGATTGAAGTTTTTTTAAATATTAATTAATTAAATATTAATAAACAATCTCATTATTATGAATGTTGAAGGTCGATGGTCAACAATCGTTCTAACTTACTCGAATTCCCGAATATAGCCCCTATTACATTTAAGTGAATTCATTATTTAATATTATGAAGTTGTCACTTACACAATAACTTGACATCAGTGGTGTAACATTATTCTTTTTTTTTTTTTTTTTTACATAGTTTCTACTTTTGCGTTTGAATAATGGAAGAAGAAAAGCAAAAAGGTACAGCTTTTAAATCATTGTTTGAAACTAATTTTTAATAGAGTTTCTATTTCTAAAGAGCTTTTATTTTTATTTGGTGTGATCATGTCATAAGCTATTATGTCACTAAAATTGAACATAGATAGTAAATTATGCTTATGTTTGCTTTAACTACAAAAGTCAATTAAAATCTAAGTTAAAGTAAAAAAATTATTTTAATAACATATTTCATAGAATCCAAAGATTTTTCAACCACATATTCTATCAAATTTTTATCAAAATCTGATTTTTATCGAAACCAAATAGGGAAATAAGATTTAAATTTAATTATAACAATTTCATATTAAAAACCATAAGAAAATAATATTCATCTAAGCATAATTTTTCTATCGATCATATTACAAACAAATTTCATCAACTGTTAAATTTATATTTGAGTCTTCTCATTTGGCAAATAATCTTCGTTGTCATTGTATTTTTGAAATTCAAAATAAATTATAGACTTTCTTCTTATAAAGTTAGAGTAATGCTATTTAACTGCACTGGAATTGTAACCCAGTCTTAGTGGCCTAATGTGGCATTAATTAATAAACAGAATTAAATAACTCATTTAGTGTCACTTTTCATTTAATCAATCATTTAGTGCCACCTAGATTGGAGTTACAATCTCAGTGAGACTATATAGTATTACTCATAAAGTTATGGAGTGTTATTGAACCCATAACAATAGTTACTTATAAAAATCATAACTTGATATATGTTACAATATTCTCCACCGTTCATTTCATACCCCAAAGCAATATTCACTAAAACTTTGTAGTGAGGAATGTGTATAATAAAATATTTTCGAGAGCATCTAGATTCCCTACCACGTCTAAAATCTGAAATGTAGTATCGTTCTCTCTTATATGGGGCTAAATAACATTTCATATTTTGATAGCCCGCATCAAACAAAGAGTATATTTGTACAATAATATCAATCCAAATCACAAGATCTTATTATCTGATTAAAATAAAAATAAAAATATTTAATATAAAACACAAACTAAGTAATGGTTTAGGAAATTTTAGATCAAAGCTTCATAGTGCCTCTAAAAATGTGTTTTGTGTTGTTCCTTTCCATCCTAATCACATAAAGGTGATTAACATGTCAAACCTCACGTCTAAAATCTGAAAGGTAGTATCGTTCTCTCTTATATGCAGCTAAATAACATTTCATATTTGGCTAACCCGCATCAAACAAATAGTATATATGTGCAAAAGTATCAATCCAATCACAAGATCTTATTGTTTGATCAAAATAAAAAAAAAAAAACAAAAACTAACTAATGGTTTAGGAGATTTAGATCAAAGCTCCGTAGTGCCCCTAAAAATGTTTTTTGTGTTGTTCCTTTCCATCCTAATCACATAAAGGTGATTAACATGTCAAACCTCACACGATCATAATATTGTGCGTAGAGTATCCCTTTCTGATGATTTGCTCATTCGTTGAAAGTGATGCGTGAACATGTCTCCCATCAATTACTCCAATACAATTCTAAGAAGAGAAAATAAAATAGAGCAAATTAACTAAAGTACATGTTTTCAAATGAACTTTATTGTTTCAACAATTATTATTTGATAAAAAAAAATTATGTTTAGTAAAAAACATAAACTAACAAATGATTTAGGAAATTTTAGATCAAAGCTTCGTAGTGCCCTTAAAATTGTGTGTGGTGTCGTTCCTTTCCATCCTAATCACATATTAGCATGTCAAACTTCACATGGTCATAATATTTTGCATAGTGTATCTCTTTCTGATGATTTGCTAATTCATTGAAAGTGATGCGCAAACATGTCTCCCATCAATTACTTCAATTCAATTCTAAGAAGAGAAAAGAAGATAGAGCAAATTATTTAAGGTACATGTTTTCAAATGAACTATGTTATTTCAATAATTATTATGTAGATTACTTTAAAATAGGCCAATACTTGTGATTTGATCGAATATGAGGCAAGACTTCATAATTATCAAGTGGTCTAATTTCTTGTAAAGCGATATTACTCATTTTTCAATTACAATCCCAAGTTGTCTGCTCACTATAGCTCTTCATCTATTCATTATCCATTTTGTTATCAAATAACTAAATAATATAATTTTGCAAAATAAAGTACATCATGTTTATACTTTACAAAAATATAAACGGGAACATAGAGAATGTAGATGTTAAGAGCTCTTACAATAATGACATCTGGTCTTTTCTTTGGTCAGCATGGGTTCCTATCATCATATTAACTCTAAATAACACAAGTCTCAAAACATAAGTCTTACATAAATTTAAAATAAAAAAAGTTCACTACTAGAAAAAAAAAAAAAAAAAAAAGAGAGAGAGAGACAAAAATACGTAAGATAAATAGTTCATAATTGAGGTTGTTAATTTTTCAACCATTGAATTTGATACTTGGGGTTTCTTTAAAGCTAAAAAAATCTCTCTATGTGCTTTCTTTGTGAACAAGGCTCATGCCAAGGTTGAAAAGAGAGTAATTTGTTCGCAATCTGAAAATGTGGCCAACTTATTCATAACCTCTTTGAAACTACATTTAGGTGCATCATTGCATATGTAGGAGCTCATATTTTTAATAGCTTCACGGAGTTTTTGAAGTTTTTGCACGTTTTTGTTGTTGTAGATTTGTTCTTTTATCGCTTTCTCAGTCACTTCCTAGTTGATTCAACCATTTTATCTTAGCGAATTATCTGCACTTCCTCTTGGTTACCATCGGAGTGTTCATTTATCTCAACAACATCACCATCTTCAACAATAATTGTATTTTGCGAATATAAAGGAGGCATTACACTAGAAGTAGGTGCCCAAGCCCTATCTCCAATAGCCGTGACTAGACCTGGACGTCGAGTAAATCAGTTCAAGTTTTTTAATGTCCATAAACGAATTGTCAAATCCGATTTTGGATCAATTCTACCTATAATATTATTGTTAAAAAACCGTTAAATTGACAATACCAATTACTTTTCCAATATCTAGTAGAGATAAAAGAAATAAATTATGTCACCAAATACATATTGCAACACTTGCAATCCACTGAAAATATACAACCAAAAAACACTCAATTTTGACTGTGGCTTCACATGCGACATCCCAAGAAAGATCTGTCTGGTAGACAATCTTACAAAGTGATCAGGAGTAGGTATTAATGAAAGTGTTACGATTTATTTGCGTAAATGAATTAGATTCATTAAGGTACTTACCATTTAGGTTATGCAAACTTGCTATATATTGGGGCTTGCAAGTTTGCTATTTATTTCGACCTGATCATTTGGTCAAAATGAATAAATAGTCAAAAAATAAAAAATTATAAAAAATGATAAATTCGATTTTAAAGTCAAGTACGCACGATTACGATTCGAGAATTGGCCCGAACTTAGTCGGTAGGTTTTAAAATATTTTGTGAAATGATCATCAAAATTTAAATTTAGCATAATTTTTCACCTTGAGTTCTGTTTGATCACGACAATCAATCATTATTGTACTTCGGATTCCATTCACTACATTAGGAAATATCTTAATGATAGAAAAGTACAGAAAAAGAAAGAGCTCTACCAAGGCAGCTGGGAGTGAATGAGGCCATGGCTACGCAACAGACATTTACCCACTCACATTAATTTTCTTTTAGTCTGGCCTTGATTGATGTGAATGCGTGTTTTGGAGCTCAACATAATTGTTGGA